CAGAGCATGAGTTGGGGAGGGGCAGAGAGAGAGAGAGGCACAGCATCCAAAGCAGGCTCCAGGCTCCAAGCTGTCAGCACAGAGTCCAATGCGGGTCTCAAACCCACAAACCGCGAGATCATGACCTGAGCTGAAGTCGGCGCTTAACTGACTGAGCCACCCAGGTGCCCGTCTCTTGTTTTATTTTTGTTTTTGTTTTTGTTTTTATCTGGGGAAGGGGGGCAGGAATCTCAAGCAGGCCCCACGCTCAGCATGGAGCCCGCCCCATGGGCTTGATCTCATGACCGTGAGATCATGACCTGAGCTGAAATCAAGAGTCAGAGGCTTAACTGAGCCACCCAAGCACCCCTGTATCTTTAATTTTAAGTTCACTTTTAAAGTATTTTATGTAGCGGGGTGCCTGGGTGGCTCAGTAGGTTAAGCGTCCAACTTTGGCTCAGGTCATGATTTCATGGTTCTTGAGTTCAAGCCCCGCATCGGACTCTGTCTCCCTCTCTCTCTGCTCCTCCCCCACTCGTGCTCTGTCTCTCAAAAATAAATCATTAAAAAAATTTTTTTTTAATTTGAGATAGATATTCACATAGCTGAAACTTACCATTTTAAACTGTACAATTAAGTGGTTTTAAGATATTAAAAAGGTTGTGCAATGTCTGATGTCTAATTCCAGAACATTTTCATGAAATGGCGTTCAGAAAGAAACGCCATACCCATTAGTAGTCACATCCCATTCCGTTCACCTCTTAGTGACCACTAATCACCTGCTGTCTTTGTGGAAATATTTGCATGTTCTTGACATTTCATATAAATGGTATCATACAGTATGTGGTCTTCTTGTGTCTTTCTTTTTCCACTTATGTTTTAAAGGTCCAGCCACGTTGTAGCCGGTATTAGTACTTCACTCCTTTCCGTGGCCAAATATTCCATTGTATAGATATGCTACATTTTATCTGTCCATTTGTTGATGGATATTTTGGGTGTTTTTTTTTAATCTTTTGGCTATTATGAATAATGCTATGAACATTCATATGCAACTTATTTGTGGACATATGTTTTCAGTTCTCTTAGGTATATACTGGGAGTGGAATTGCTAGGTCATATTGTAGATAATTCTATAACTTTTAAAGGAACTTATTACATAATTCATTTTGAAATAGACTTTTTATCGTGGAATAATTTCAGATTTGCAGAGATAGTAGATTTCCTGTATAGCTATCACCTATCTTCTAATGTTAACACAAACCCTAAAATGTCTGTCAAAGCAAAGAAGCCAACATTGGTACATTACTGTTAACGAAATTCTAGGTTTTATTGGTATTTCACCAGTTTTTCCACTAATGTCCTTTTTTTGTTACAGAATATAACATTGTCATGTCTCTTTAGACTCCTCTGCTCTGTGAACAATTTCTCAGTTTTTCTTTGTTTTTCATGTCTTTGATAGTTTTTTTTTTAATTTTTATTTTTTTAATGTTTATAATGAGAGAGAGAGAGAGACAGAGTACAAGCAGGGGTGGGGCAGAGAGAGAGGGAGACACAGAGAATCTGAAGCAGGTTCCAGGTTCCAAGCTGTCACCACAGAGCCTGACGTGGGGCTGGAACCACAAACCACGAGATCGTGACCTATGCCAAAGTTGGATGCTTAACCAACTGAGCCACCCTGGTGCCCCTTTAAGGAGTATTGGTCAGGAATTTTTGTAGAATGTCCCTCAGTTTGGGTTTATCTGATGTTTTTCCCATAGTTAGACTGGGGTTATGGAATGGAATTTGAGGAAGAATACCATAGAGGTAAAGTAGGTTTCTCATCACATTCAATCAGGTGGTGAGTGACGTCAGCACAACTTATTACTGGAGATGTTAACCTTGATCACTTGGTTAATGCAGTGTTTGCCACATTTTTCCACCATGAAGTTATTTTTCCCTTTCCATACTCTTGGAAATGAGTCACTAGATCCAGCATATATTCAAGTGGGGAAGGAAGTTAAGTTCCAACTCCTAGGAGGGGATGTAGCTACAATTATTATTTGGAATTCTTTTATAAGGAAGACTTGGCACCCCACCATTTTATTTATTCATTTGTACTGATATGAACTGTATATATTTATTTTTCACTTTGGGTTAAATATAATGCTACTTTATTTTTCTGCTCCATTCATTCCAGTATTGGCTTTTGGGAACTCTTTCCTGTGTCCTTATCCTTTTTAAGTACTTCTTTACCTTCTGACAATATAAGATACTCTAGGCTCATCCTTATTTTCCCTGTCCCAGGCCTAGAACCAGCCATTTCTTCAAGGATCCCTGACTACAGTTAAGTAATTTAATTTGCCCAAGGTCACACGCTTAAATAAATGGTGAAACCAGGATTCTGACTGAGGGAATCTGATTCCTCAACCCATGCTTTCAGTATGCAGCTGAAGGTGCACTGGCAGTTTCTAGTCATGTTCCATCTGTGAACCAGTCTTTTTTTTTTTTTTTTTTTAAGTTTTTTTTTTATTTTTTATTTTTTATTTTTTTTAATTTTATTCATTTTTGAGAGAGCATAAGCAAGGGTGGGACAGAGAGAGAGGGAGACACAGAATCTGAAGCAGCCTCCAGGCTAAGCAGGCTCCAGGCTCTGAGCTGTCAGCACAGAGCCCGATGCGGGGCTCAAACTCATGAACCATGAGATCATGACCTGAGCTGAAGTCGGACACTTACTTAATTGAATGAACCACCCAGGCCCCCCAAGTCTGTGAGCCAGTCTTAAGGATACAGTTGATAGTCATCTCACCCTAAATAATTATTAAGCCCTGTTTTATATTGATTTTTTTTTAACCACAGCTGTGATGGTTGTAATCAAGCTAAAAATTACTTGTTAGGCACAATTAACTACTGTTAATATTTTGGTACATTTCTTTCTTTAAATGCATGCAAATGTATTTTGAGATTTTGTTATATTATCCTAATTTTTAAATATGCACAAATATGAAGCATTTACAGTGTAACCAGAATCTGAATGTGCCATGTCTGTTTTAAGTGGTGATTAAGATGAAAGTGAGCTGCTATAGAGTCATTCTGTTTTGCCTTGATGTTATGGTCACATAAGAGATAAACATCTGTCTTGATTTATCAGTTTCTCAAGTAATCCTCCAAGTGTTGTTCCTAAGCCTTATCTTTCTTCCATTTCTAGCAACAGATAAGTCCTCTCTTGTGATGCACACCTGACAGTCCACGCTTAACAGCCAGTTGCATCTCACTCCAAAGCAGAACAAACCCCATATGTTGTGATCACTTGGTTTGGAAGAATCATCTGACTAGGTCATCTGCGTGACATTCTTAGATTCCACCCCCATTTCTTCTTTTGACCACCAATATTAATTTCAATTCAGGAAGTCTTTCTCACACACACAGATCTTTTTTTACTCTCTTCTCCCTGCCATTCTCTAGCTAGTTATCCCCAGAAAAGTTTATTTTCCCCCTTTACAGTCTCTCCTTCTTCCTCTTTTGTAGGCTGAAAAGTAGTTGTCATTATGGAAGACAAAATACACAGTGGTTTTGGGGATGCCTGGGTGTCTCAGTTGGCTAAGCGTCCAGACTCTTGATTTCCACTCAGGTCATGATCTCACAGTGTCTTGAGTTTGAACCCTACATTGCGTTCTGTGCTGACTCTGCAAAGCCTGCTTGGGATTCCCTCTCTCTCCCTCTCCCTCCCTCTCTCTCTCTCTCTCTCGCCCCCCCTCCCCTGCTCACGCTCTCTCTCTCAAAATAAATAAACTTAAAAAAATTATTTAAACTATTCTCTCTCTCTCTCTCTCTCTCTCTCTCTCTGCCTGCCCCTCTACTCCACTTGTGTGTGTGCTCTCTCTCTCAAATAAAAGACATTTTTTATTCATTTTTAATTTTATCTAACTATAGTTGGTATTCTTTACATTGTATATATACAAAATTTTATTCACTTAAATGCAATAAGTAGCTATAATAAAATCAGGATCTAATTACCAATTGAAATCTTGTTTAGTGAGGAGATGTGTTGTTTCCTAATATATACTTTTGTATCAGACCTTATCTGGAAGTTAGGCATACCCTCCCCTTTACTGCTGACTTTAAATGTGTATAATCTACTTTTTGTAAAAGGACTAAAATATATAAATATATATGTAAATATGTATGTAAATAAGGTTTATGTGATATTAATGTTTATATATATAAACAAGGTTGACGTTTTCTACTGAATTAGTCATGTGGATTAAGAGGGGTTACTTGACTGCCTGGACAGGGCATCACATGATGACAGAAACTTGAGATTTGGCCATACTCTGGTTTTGAGCCAAAATCTAGATTTACTTTTGAACTAGATCAAGTTCTATGGAACTGTCTGCAAAGCTTGCAAGAGACTAACACATGTAGTTAGAACGTCACATTTTCAAAGAAACTATATATTACATCAGTGGCACATTCTCATCCTTTAGGAGAGTTTATATGAAGGCTAAGTTGTAATCACAAGGCTAGGGAAGCATGGACTCAGATTCTTTGTTAGGAGTGGTGTTGGTTGATATATTTAATAGCAAGCATTCTATCTTTGCTACAGAAATGGACCTGTCAGGCACCTATCCTTTGGCTGGTTAGAACATAATCTTCCTCTTTGGAATTCCCTTTTTTTAAGACTCCATGTTGTCTGTCTTTTCATTGGAATATTTACTCTTAGAATCAACTGATTAGGTGAATATCTTTTGATATGTTATTATCATCATGCTTTCCCAAAACTTACCCTAGTCCTCTTAACTGGACATGGCTTTTCAAACATTCTCTCAGCTAACCATTTACCACCTTTGTTACGGGAGATTACCTATATTAATAACCAGTTTCGTCTCTTATTCATTGAATTTTATAAATTTTGCAAACTTCTCTCTAAATGGATAACATTTTCTAATTCACAGTTGAAAAGAGGACAGTTATTACTGTTTCTGCTTGTCTGTACTATTTTTTACTTTGTTATTGACTGTATGATTTTTGCCTATCTATTTCAGGCCACATCATAATTCCGAATCATGTCTGATAACGGAGAACTGGAAGACAAGCCTCCAGCACCTCCTGTGCGAATGAGCAGTACCATTTTTAGCAGTGGAGGCAAAGACCCTTTGTCAGCCAATCACAGTTTGAAACCTTTGCCCTCTGTTCCAGAGGAAAAAAAGCCCAGGAATAAAATCATCTCTATATTCTCAGGCACAGAGAAAGGTAAATAGCTATTGTGGCTTCAAGAGTCTCGGTTATTATTATTATTATTTTTTAATGTTTATTTTTGAGAGAGAGAGAGAGAGAGAGAGTGTTGGGGGATTAGGCAGAGAGAGAGAGGGAAACAGAGAATCCAAAGCAGGCTCTGAGCCCAACATGGTGCTTAAACCCATGAACTGTGAGATCCTGACCTGAGCTGACATCAGATGCTCAACCAACTAAGCCACCCAGGTGCCCCATGAGTCTCATTTGTATTTTATGTTACCAATTTTGATATTTTTTCTCAATTATGATCTCTTTTTAATTAAATTATAATAATAAGTTGATATTTTATGGTGAGAACAATAACAGATCTAAGAAAACAATTGATGGTGGTATATAGGCACTATTAGAAAGGCTAGTTTCTCTTAACCTCTGATAATAAAGAATAAAACTAAGTTTTTACTCATATACTTGGTATATCAAATGAATTTCTCTAATCCTCTCCTTCATTTTCTAAGACATGAGCTTCCCAACGTGAATGAGATTTGGAGATTTGAGAAAGAACTCATTGAGAGAGTTTGTGATTTTTCAGTAGCAGTAATACTTAGTACTATTTTTTAATCTTGTATTCTGTTAATGCCCTCCAAGGCAGCACTCCGTGATTAGTAAATTAATGTGTCTTCTGCAAACATGAGTCTGGTCCAAGGTTTGTCAATCTCAGTAAGATTGACATTTGGGGGCCAAATAACTTTGATGCAGGGATTGATCTTGTGCATTATAGAACATCCTATAAGCCATTCCTAGCTTTTACCAACTAGATGTCAGTAGCACCTCCCACCCAGCTATGACAACTAAAAATGTCTCCAGACATTGCTACATATCCTCTGTGGAGCAAAATCACCTCCAGTTAACAACCACTGGCCTAGTCATACAAGCTGGGATAAAAACTATAAATAGTCATCTCCTATAAATTGAAGTCACTAAATTTGTTTTGGTGCCAAGCCTCAGGAAAGAACTTGTGGTTTTCAGAGCTTTTTGAATTTTAGAATTAGATAGGCATTATGGACTGGTAATGGGTTTTAGAGTAAGAATTAGGGATTAGTTTATTTAATTACATTAAGCATGGCTATATGGCTCTGATAGCTAATAATAGATATAAGTGTAGATAAGGATATATTTCCACTCATAGATAGCCAAGTTAACATGGTGAAGGAAACCCAAATGGAAGAGGAGTAGTGCTTTATATATAATAATAAATATACAAGGGCCTGTTGGCATGGCCATGGCAGGTTTGCTGAAGAAGACCACTGGCCTTGTGGTTTTGGCTTTGTGTAGTCCACACAAGAGGCTAAGAATATTGTACACAATGATTCTTGATGTTCTTGAGCAAATTCCTAAAAATGCAGCAATAGAAAGTATACAGAACAGATTACAAATGAGAAGTTGAGTATGGTTAAAGTGTAACCAGATGTTAAGAAATTAGAAGACCAACTTCAGGGTGGCCAACCAGAAGAGGTGATTCTTCAGGCTGAAAATGAACTAAGTCTGGCAAGAAAAATGATACAGTGGAAACTATGGGAGCTTTTAGTGGAAGAGCCTCCTGCCAACCAATGGAAATGGCCAATATAATCATCATTAAATGACTGTTGTGTTGATGGGGAGCTAATACAATTAAATTTTCTGTTATATTAATGTTTCCATATTATTGACATCTTAAAATCAAGAAAACATACAGGACATATTTAGGAGACTTGTTAAAATTGATGACTATGGTAATAGGGATTTGTGACTCCATTTTTTATGTAAAGCATTCACTTGAGTTATTTCAAAGATGTTTTGGGGGGGGGGTTGTTATTTATTTTTTTTAACAGGTTAACAGATTTGAAAGTTAATTGGAAAAATCCCTATAGATTTTCAATGCAGAGTTCATAATCAAAATGTGAAGTCATTTTAGTGTTTTTATATCATTTAATGTTTTTTATCCTGAAAAGAACAGGAAAGGAATTTAATTATTATTTTTTAGACAGATTTATAGGTCACTGAAGTGAAGTAGTAAGAGTAAAAACCATCAAATGATAAGGTGAAGAAATTGATTTGGTATTTCAAAGAAAAATTTCTTATTTGCAGTGGTAATTGGAAAAACTTTTCCTTTTGTCTCATTTAAAGAAGTTAGCTTTCTGTTCCTTAGCCTTTAGCTTTCTTGATCAACCAAAGTACATCAGGATAGAGATTGAATTTATGTAAAAGAAGAGACAGCAAAAGTTTAAAATTTATCTGATATGGTGGATAGGCTTATATTCAGAACATCTTTGTCATAGGGTTGTAACTTCAAAGTAGAATGACTGGTAGTTTTCACTAAGTTTCGAGTATGAGTGCAGTTGGGTATAAAACTGAAGATAAATACTATTCAAGGAAAGAAACAGTTGGCGTAAATTACTTTTCATGTGTCCTTACCCTTCCTTCCTAGACCCTGTCCTTTCTAAATACTTAAACTTGATATTTTTTAACTTCAAAGATAGTACTTTTGTGTGTGTCTGTATGCATGTGTGTGTGTGTTGCTATCCCTTATTGCAAAGCAAAATCCAGAATTTTCAGAATGAGAGAATTGTGTTTTTTTCCAATATATTTCTCCCCTTCCAGAGCTGTAAATTGAATGGTAACTGAATATTAAATGAAAAAATAATACACATTTTACTTGAGACTTAAGAATACATAATCAATGAAAATTTACATAGATTGAAATGTACAGAAATTAACTGTACAGTTTGACCAGTGGGTACACCTGTGAAAGCCATAATCGTTACATCACCATATCACATTATACACCATTTTTATCTCCCCAGCCTAGAACTTTACATAACCCAGCCTAGAATTTTATCAGTACCTCTGAAGCCCCCATCTGCCACACCCAATCTCTCTTTTCTCCACCTCCCACCAATATCTACCATCTTGAATTATGCAGTTTTTTTCCCTTGCTTTTTATTATAGTTTTACAACATAATATCTCCAAACAACGTATGGTTTAAGCTTGCCTATTTGGGAACATTTTATAAATGGAATCATAATGTATGCATTTTTCCAGGACTTACATTTTACATTTTTCACTCAACTTTATGCTTTTGAGATGCATTTTGGTATACATAGCTATAGTTCATTTTCACTGCTGATGTTGTTATATGCAGCTCTGTTTTGTTCATTTTCACAGATGTATACTAGTACACTGTATAAATATATGGCAATTTAGTTAGCTGGTCTCCTATCAAAAGACATCTGGGTTGTTTTCATGAACAGTGCTGCTCTATGGGTAATCTTGAGGGCTTGTGCAAGTATTTCTCTATGGCAGTGCTTATTAAGCATCAGGTGACCCATTAGTTTAGTTCTTGATTCTCATTGCTTATTAGAATCTCTTTTTGGGGGGGGAGGGACCTAAAAAAATAAATCTATGTCCAAGCTCCATCTCAGACCAATTGAATCAGTCTTCAGGGGCTTACCTGGGCATCAGTTTTGTTCTTGTTTTTAATTTTTTAAATACCTCTGGTGAATCTAATGTGTATCCAATGTCAAGAACCACTGCATTAGTGTCTTGTGAAATCTATATAGTAGGTATAATGTTAAATGAAATAGAAATAATCAGAGTATGTCGCACACTGTGCAAGAGTTGTGTCATGGGGGCATCTGGGTGGCTCAGTCAGTTGAGTGTCTCTCTCTCTCTCTTTCTTTTTTTTTTTTTTTTTTTTTTTTTTTTTAGTATTTATTTTCGAGAGAGAGAGTGACAGAGCACGAGCAGGGCTGGATCAGAGAAAGAGGGAGACACAGAATCTGAAGCAGGCTCCAGGCTCTGAGCTGTTAGCACAGAGCCCAACCTGGGGCTTGAACTCATGAACCATGAGGTCGTGACCTGATGAAGTCAGAGGCTTAACCAACTGAGCTGCTCAGCTGCCCCTAGCATCTTACTCTTGATTTAGGCTCAAGACATGACCCTAGGCTCATGGGATGAAGTCCCAAATTGGGCTCCGTGCTGAATGTGGAAACTGCCTGGGATATTCTCTTTTTCTCCCTCTCTCAAAAACAAAAAAGAAAAAAAATGTTTCTTTCATGAATTCATGAAACTTTTGTTTCAGTTATGTGTGTATTAGGTCAGAATGTAAACGTATTGATGTGGGTCTTGGCCAAAGATTTAAAAGTTGCTCTGAGATGTATACTTGGGAGTAAAATTGTAGGGTTACAGGGTATTCCCATGTTTGTCTTGAGTAGGTTTGTCAGATTGTTTTCTGAAGTCTTTTTAGTGTTCATTCTTACCCACAGAACATGTATGTTTGCTGAACATCCTTGCAAATTCCTGTTTTACAGGACTTGAATTTTTGCCACCTTGGGAAGTATGAGATAATATCTCATTGTGGGTTTAATTTCCATTTCCCTGAAGACTTGGGAAATTATTTTTTCATATGTTAATTTACCAGTTATTTGTGTTTTCTGTTCCATCTATTCCTCAGTCCATTTTTCTGTGGAGTTGCTTTTTCCTTCTTTATTAATAAACATTTCTTGGGGCGCCTGGGTGGCACAGTCGGTTAAGCGTCCGACTTCAGCCAGGTCACGATCTCGCGGTCCGTGAGTTCGAGCCCCGCGTCAGGCTCTGGGCTGATGGCTCAGAGCCTGGAGCCTGTTTCCGATTCTGTGTCTCCCTCTCTCTCTGCCCCTCCCCCGTTCATGCTCTGTCTCTCTCTGTCCCAAAAATAAATAAACGTTGAAAAAAAAAATTAAAAAATAAAAAATAAACATTTCTTATTGTCTATATACTAATCCTTTGTCAGCTAAATGTTATTAAATATAGTTTTCCGAGTGGTGATTTGCCTTTTCACCCTCTCAGTGATATCTTTTGTTGAATAGAAGTTACTAATTTTGGTGTAGTTAAATCGATCAATCCCTTTATCAAATATGAGCTTTTTGTGTTTTAAGATTTAAATCTTTGCCAAACTGTGGGTCAAAGATGTTTTCTTATATTTTTCTAAAGGTTTAACAGTATGCCTTTTATAATTTAAATCTTTGAACTGTCTGGATTTGGTTTTTGTGCATGTATAAAGAGAGATCCATTTTCACTTTTTTTGAACCAGTGTTCCCAACCTTTCATTGAAACTTTTGTCATTTCCCCACTGACCTGCCATACTAGCCCTTATCTGTCAGGTTTCCCAGTATGCCAGGGTCTGTTTCTCTATTGTCTACTTTATTGCATTGGCTTATTTGTACCTGAGCTAATACTGTACTGTCTTAATCATTATAGCTTATAATTCTTAATACCTGAGAGAGCAAACCTGCTACCAGGTTCTTCTTTATGATCTTTTGTCCTTTTGCTCTTTTCTTTAAATTTTAGAATTTGTTTATCACGTACTTTAAAAAAAAAAAAAAAAAAAAAAAAAAAAAAAAAAAAAAGAACAAAACAACCAGGGGCGCCTGGGTGGCTCCATCGGTTGAGCGTCTGACTTTGGCTCAGGTCATGATCTCACTGCTTATGGGTTCGAGCCCTGCGTCAGGCTCTGTGCTGACAGCTCAGAGCCTGGAGCCTGCTTCGGATTCTGTGTCCCAGTCTCTCTCTCTCTCTCTGCCCCTCCCTCGCTCATGCTCTGTCTCTCTCTCACGAATAAATAAAACATTAAAAAAAAATTTTTTTTTAAAAACAACCTGCTGATGTTTTCATTAGATTTGCATTGAATTTGTAGAGTGAGATGGGAAGAATTGCATTCAGCTTTATTGTTAAGTAAGAGTAGAGCTCCTGCAGTCTCTGTGTAGCCTAGTTGTAGAGAGAGAAGGAGAAAGAAAGATGGAATGTTTGGAGGGTAGGGTGCTCCTTAATTCTTCTCATTCTCTAGGGTTCTTCCCTCCCTTTCCAACCCAGCCTCCCTGCACTTTTGTTTCTTCCTAGAAGTTGTCACCTCCTACATTAGTGTGATCTGAAACTTTGAGGGTTAGGAAGAAGGGAGAACCCTGTGTGTGTGTGTGTGTGTGTGTGTGTGTGTGTGCGCGCGCGCGCGCATAATCATGCTTCTATGAACACAGAGATCTTACCTGCTTAACTAATCCCAACATTTCTGAACTGGCATTCTCCTGCCTAAATCCTGAGTGGCTGTTTCTCTCCCATAGTTTTATCTGAATTGCTTTTCATCTTTAGGCATTCCTCACTGATTTTGTTCCATGATAAATAAAGAGATTTGACCAGGAAGGGGAGGGCTACAGTATGTGGTTAGTCTTGAAAACAGAGTCTAGAAGGGAAAAATTGTATTTTTATTTTAAAAAATCATAATTACTGTAAGATTTTTGCCATCTCTAATGTCCTAATCTAGAAGTACTCATTTTATTCATTTACATACCTCATTGGTGTCCTTACTAACAGGCAGCTAATGTTTTCATTAAAAAAAAAACAAAACAAAATCCTGGCCTGTTCTCAGTGATTCATTATTGGTTAATCAGTGTCACTGGAAGAGTTAAGAAAATTAGAAATTCTACTTTTTGCTACTTTTTTTTTTTTTCTAAAATGTTTACTCCTTTTTGAGAGGGGGAGAGCCCATGCAAGTGGAGGAGGGTGGGGAACAGAGGATCCGAAGCGACAGCAGCAAGCCCAGTGTGGGACTCAAACT